TGGTCGTTGTCGCGAATATTGAACCTAATCGTGAACGTGAACAAGTGGGATGTTGGACGAAAATACCGCTGGGTATAAGACTTAAAGGGCGGTGGTCAACGTGCCGTCGGAGAACGACACGTGTTTCGCGCGCGCGGTGGTCGCCGCTCTGTACCCCGCCACGCGCAACGCGGAACGATGCGGCTCGTATCCCAATTACGCGACGGTGCTGAATCTCGACGGGATCGATTTTCCCATAGATCTAAAAAAAATCGGAAAATTCGAACATCAGAACGACGTATCGATCAACGTGTTTACAACTCGGGAAGGAATTGAAAAGAAAGCTAAGTTCGGCCGGGGCGCCGACCACAACTCGATCGTGCCTCTGCGGTTGACCGACGATAAGCGGGACAGGTACGTAAATCTGCTGTATCTGCGCGATACGCTGCGCGGCGTCAACAGGGGCCATTTCGCCTGGATAAAGAATCTGTCGCGATTGGTGAATTCGCAATTGACCGCGAAACGGTGCGCGAAGCACGTTTGCGATCGGTAGGTAAAAGAAATGAAATAAAAAAAGAACGCGAGGAACAAGGTAAAGACGAGGCGTTATTTTTTTTTACATACGCACAGTAATCGCTCGCACGTTATTTTTCGCAGATGTCTACACTATTTCTATACGCGCGACAAGTTGGCCGCCTACAGCGTCGACTGCGGCCGAATGAACGACTGCGCCGTCGTTCTCCCGAACGAGAGCGACAAGTGGCTGTCTTTCGACAATTATGACAGAAAGGAGCGACTTCCCTTCGTAGTGTACGCGGATCTGGAGTGTCTTCTCGAGCGACGGGAGAGGGAGAACGTCGAGGGGGGCCCGAGAACGGAAAGATACGCTTATCAGCGTCACGTACCGTTCAGCGTGGGCTACTATCTGTGCTGCACCTACGACGATACCGCGTCCGCGTACAGATATCGTCGCGGCGAGGATTGCGTTTCGTGGTTCGTGAACGAGCTTCGCGTTCTCGCGCGTCGCGTTAAGAATAAATTTTCCACCAATGTAGCGATGGTGGAACTCACGGAGGACGAGAAAAGCGAATTTCTGCTCGCGACTCATTGTCACGTGTGCGAGAAACCGTTTCAACCGGAGAACAATCGCGTGCGGGATCACTGTCACCTAACCGGACGTTACAGAGGTCCGGCGCATTCTCGTTGCAATCTGAATTATAGAAACGTTTACGTGATTCCCGTGTTCTTTCACAATTTGTCGGGTTATGACGCGCACTTCGTCGTCGAAAAAATCGCGAACGATTTCGAGGGCGGAGTCGATCTGCTGCCCCTCACGAAGGAAAGCTACATATCTTTCTCGAAGACCGTTAAAGAGACGCAGACGGACGGGAAATGGGATTGGTACGTGAAGCTTCGATTCGTGGACTCGTATAAATTTTTAGCGGCGAGTATCGAAACCCTGGCGTCCTATCTGAACGGGGACAAGCTGAGAATCACGCGTTCGGAGTACGCGGATTTCAGCGCGGAGGATCTCGATCTGCTCACTCGCAAGGGTGTGTTTCCGTACGAGTACGTCGACGGCGCGGACAAACTGCGGGATACCGAGCTTCCGCCGCGCGAGGCCTTTTACAGCTCCCTGACCGACGAGACCGCGAGCGAGAGCGACTACGAGCACGCGACGAGGGTCTGGCGACGTTTTCGCGTGCGAGATCTCGGCGAGTACAGCGATCTGTATCTCAAGACCGACGTGCTTCTTCTGGCGGATATATTTGAAAATTTTTGGGACGCGTGTTTGGCGAGTTACGGGCTCGATCCCGCGCATTACTACACGTTGCCGGGGTACACGTGGGACGCCATGCTGAGGTGCACCGGCGTGCGTTTCGAGCTGCTCACCGACATCGACATGGTGCTGTTCGTAGAACGCGGAATACGCGGCGGCCTCAGTCAATGTTCGCTCAGGTACGCGCGAGCCAATAACAGGCACGTACCGACGCACGACTCGTCCCAGCCCACTACGTATCTCATGTATTACGACGTGAACAATCTGTACGGCTGGGCTATGAGCAAATCGTTGCCCTACGCGAATTTCCAGTAACTCGACGATCCTGAGAATTTCGACGCGACGACCGTGCCGACGGACAGCGACGTCGGTTACATTTTGGAGGTGGATCTCGAGTACCCGCGAGACCTGCACGACACCCACGCGGATTTGCCGTTGTGCCCGACGCGCGACAAACCGCCCGGCAAGCGACAGGAAAAATTGCTCGCCACTCTCTACGACAAATCGCGTTACGTGACGCACTATCGAAACCTGCAGCAATGTCTGCGACTAGGTATGCGTTTGACGCGCGTTCGTCGCGTTCTACGATTCGCCCAGTCGCCGTGGCTTCGCGTCTACATCGAACTGAACACCGCGCTTAGGACGCGCGCGAGCAACGATTTCGAACGGAATTTGTACAAACTGATGAACAACGCCGTCTTCGGCAAGACTATGGAGAACGTGCGCGATCACGTGGACGTGCGTCTCGTGACGCGATGGGACGGGAGATACGGCGCGGAGGCGTTGATCGCTAAGCCGAACTTTCACAGCAGGAGCGTCTTTTCGGAGAATCTGGTGGCGATCGAGCTGCGAAAGCTCGAGGTAAAATTCAACAAGCCGATCTACGTGGGTATGTCTATTCTCGAGATATCCAAGACGCGTCTCTAC